CTCTTGGAATAACTTTGATGACTGAGAATAACTTTTGATAGCTCTTAGAGAATAACTTTTATGAACGGAGATGTTTGAGATTAACTTTGATAGCTCAGAATAACTTTTGTGGACATGAGAATATCTTTGGATAACTCTGAGATTAACTTTGATGTCTTTGAAACAACTTTGATGTACGAGAGTGAGTTAGAGATTACCTTTGTTAACTCTGAGATTAACTTTGATGAACGAGAAAATACTTTTTGATGACATCGAGAATAATTTGATAGCTCTGAGAATGACTTTTATGCCTCTGAGAATAACTTTGAGGATGCAAGTAAATTTTTGAGTGTTTGAGAGTGTCTTTTGATATCTCGAAGAGTCCCATTGAAGTCTTAAAGGATGTCTTTGATGTCTCGAAGGATGTCTTAGAGTGTAACTTTGGTGTCTTTGAGTAAGTCCTTGATGTATTGAAGAGTGTCTTTGATTTCTCGAAGAGTAACTTTGGTGTAACGGAGAGCACCTTTGACTATTTTTCTTACTTAGCGACATATAATTTTAGTTACGAAAGTGTTGAAAAAGTTACATTTGACTATTTTTAGTGCTCCACAAAGTATAAATGTCAGTTAAGAACGACGATGATAGATATCTTTGACTATATTTTCTTACTTGACGATGGATAATGGCTGTTACGAAATGATGAAAGAAGTTTCCTTTGACAATTTTTAGCTAAGCGAAAGGTTGTTTTTAGTTAAGAACGGTGTTGAAAGAGATTAATCCTGACTATTTTCAGATGAGAGAAGTGATATTTCAGTTAAGAAATGACAAGGAAACATGATGAAGTAACTATTTTTAGTTGACCGATGAATACTTTTAGTTGAGCAAAAGACAAAACATGATGAACATGACTTTTTCTGATGATTGGCAGATAATTTTAGTTATGAAATGACAATGAAACATGAAGAACACGGTTATTTTCTGATGACTAGGGAATAAGTTTAGTTATGAACAGTGTTGGAAAGATTCCTTTGACAATTTTTAGTTGACTGGATAATAAGTTTAGTTGAGAAATGACGAAAGTGACTATGTTTCAGTTGATTGGCGAAAGATTTTTAGTTAAGAAGTTACAAGAAAGGTTTGTCTTTGTAAATTTGGAACTGAATAAAGTGTAGATTTGTTTAAGAACGGGGTTGGTAGAACTATTAAGTTGACAACGAGAATTACTTTGATATAGTTTTGAAAATAAAACTTGGTGACTAAAATTGTTGAGGGAACTGTATTGCTGATGCTAATATTTGACAAAGAACTAGTTGGCGAATGGAAGAAACAATGAACATAAAAAATTGAGGTTAAGTAAGGGAATGAACACAGTGAACATACGGCGAACACAGAAAACATGTAAGAAAAAGTTGATGAATAGAGTGAACATGCAGGGAATATGAACTTATAGAGAATATGAAGACATGATAAGGAACATAGGGAATACAAAGAATGAACACTGAACGTGTGAAGAACAAGCTAGAACATTGAGAACATGAATATTGAGTATAAAAGTTATACAGAGAACATATGATGTACATAGAAAATATGACAAAGAACATAGTGAACATACGGGGAAAAATGGCAGAAAAAATTTGAACTGAGCTTGCTGTGAACATTTATAGAACATGGAATGAACACAGAAAACATGGAAAAAATGTGAAGAACACAGCTGAATATAGAGAAAATATGCAAATACAGGGGGACAAGAGCTGGAGCTCTGTAACTGACTTGATCTTATTTACTACGTCTGAAATATGACTGTTTAAAATTTCAGGGGGATTGGACTGTTAGTAGCGAAAATGTGGTCTCTGTCAAATTTGGGTCTTTAATTGGACTCTGATTAATTTCGATCATGAACTGGACTCTGAATATTTTAGCACAAAGTAGACTCTGGCGAATTTTGCTAGAAAACTGGACTCTGATGAATTTCGATCAAGAACTGGACTCTGTCAATTTTCACAGATTACAGGACACTGATGAAATTTGCTAGAAAACTGGACTCTGATGAATTTTGCTATTAAAGTAGACTCTGGCGAATTTGAGCATAAACTGGACTCTGCCGAAAATTGGGTATAAAATGGACTCTGTCAAATTTTCTCAGATTACAGGACACTGATGAAATTTGCTCTCAAAGTAGACTCTGGCGAATTTCTGTTGATAATTCGACTCTGATGAAATATGAGCTTAAAACTGTCTCTGACTAATTTTGCTCTCAAAGTAGACTCTGTTCATTTTTTAGGTATAAATTGGACTCTGATGAAATATGAGCTAAATACTGTCTCTGACTAATTTTGCTCACAAAGTGGACTCTGTTCATTTTGAAATAGGTATAAAATGGACTCTGATGAAATATGAGCTAAAACTGTCTCTGACTAATTTGATCTCAAAGTAGACTCTGGCGAATTTCTGTTGATAATTGGACTCTGATGAAATATGAGCTAAATACTGTCTCTGACTAATTTTGCTCACAAAGTAGACTCTGACGAATTTTGCTCTCAAAGTGGACTCTGATGAATTTCGATCAAGAACTGGACTCTGATGAAATATGAGCTTAAAACTGGGCTCTGTTCAATTTGGTCTTTACAGATGAAATAGCCGTAAATGGATATAAAACTAAATGTTATGGATAAGTTGTCTGTTTTCCTTAACAAAACATCTAAGACAATATTCTCTGGAAATGGTCCTTTTACAAATTCGGTCATAAACATATAAATAAACTTCTATGATTATTTGAAACTCTGAAAATAGTTGTAAGGACATAGGAGGAGAGAGAGAGAGAGAGGAGGGACGGTCCAGATATTATGGAGAAGATAAGATAAGATAAGAGGTAACCTGTATGCGATGTCTGGCTGGCCGGGCGTAAGGTAAATAAAGGTGACGCGAGAGATTGCTATTTCTCCCATAAGACCTTAACAAACTTCTAAGTCTCGGAAATTATTTTTCTCATAAGAATTCCATACTTCTAAAATCTCGGAAATTACTCACTCATAAGAAATCCTTACTTCCAAATCTGTGACTCCCCAAATTCACCTGAAAACCCTAAAGCGCTACAGGGGAATTTACAAATTCACCTGAAACCCCGAAGCGCTACACACGAATTTCCAGAAGTTGAAAACAGGCAAACTATGTCCGTAGAGTTCACCTGGAAATGCTGTGACACAAACACGATTTTTTCAAAAACTTTTCTTTAAGATTTTCCTACTTATTTTCATTATAAGAACTTTTTAACAAACTTCTAAAATCTCAGAAATTATTTTCCTCATAAGAAATCCTTACTTCCAAATCTGTGAATCCCCAAATTCACCTGAAAACCCTAACATGCTACAAGGGAATTTCCAAAAAAATAAAAATTCCCCTGTGGACTGTACAGTCCACAGGGGTCCGCTCCCCAAAAAAAAAATTCCCCTGTGGACTGTACACCCTACTACTCTGTGTGTATTCTGTGGGGTGTTAGGTGGTGGTGTGCGTATTCTGTGTGGTGTATGGTGGTGGTGTGTGTATTCTGTGGGGTGTATGGTGGTGGTGTGCGTATTCTGTGGGGTGTATGGTGGTAGAGTGTGTATTCTGTGGGGTGTGTGTATTGTGTGGTGTGTTTATTCTGTGGGGTGTATGGGGGTGGTGTGCGTATTCTGTGTGGTGTATGGTGGTGGTGTGTGTATTCTGTGGGGTGTATGGTGGTGGTGTGCGTATTCTGTGGGGTGTATGGTGGTAGAGTGTGTATTCTGTGGGGTGTGTGTATTGTGTGGTGTGTTTATTCTGTGGGGTGTATGGGGGTGGTGTGTGTATTCTGTGGTCTGTTTATTCTGTGGGGTGTATGGGGGTGGTGTGTGTATTCTGTGGTGTGTATGGTGGTGGTGTGTGTATTCTGTGGGGTGTATAGTGGTGGTGTGTGTATGTGTTGTCTTAATTCCAGACAATTTGGGATATAGTCGGCCTCAGCTGCATTATTAAACTGCTAAGTTATATTTAATTGATTTTGGAGAACAATCATGAACAAACTTAAAATAAGAAATCTGTTCTTCAATTTGTTCTTATAGGAGTCAATTACATTTAATGTGGGGTTTACTAACCATATGTTGAGGGGAGGCCACCCATTGAATGCTTCGAGAAAACTAGCGTGTAATTCTTTTTATGCTACGGACAAATCAAAATTGGGAAACGTGGGGGGGAGGGGAGGGTTAGGTCTATTGCTGTTTACATAATTGTGATAGGTGGGCCAATTTAAGAAAAAGCATTAATTGATCTTTACCAAAAGTGTGAGACGTTGTTTCCACAATCTATGAAATTTCTGTAGCAATTAACAAGCAATTAAGGTTATGTGGTGTGTGTGTGAGGGAAGGGCGAGTGTATAAGTGATAGAACTACAACTATATGTTGCGTTACAGAGTGTAACAGATGGAGACGTCATGTAGTTTCACCCCAAAATAAGTTTATATTCCTTTTTATTCTTCAAAATTTCTATTTCAAAGCTGTTAATTGTCTTTAACTGTGTTAAGAGACTGTTAACTCTCTGGAAGCATCAATGTAAATTAATCATTAAATAAACTCAGTTATAAAAATCACTAATATATATCAATAGTCTACCATCAGACAAATTCAGTGAAATTTTAAATTAATATCATTAAAAACTCAATGAAAAGGGGCAAATGAGGAACAAGGTACACCCAGACCCGCCTATGGCCATCCCCAACAACCACCAGTCACCCTGCAAAGTTTGGTCACTCTAGCCCCCCCCCCCCTCCCACATCCTGTTACGGAAAGCCACAAATACGCGCATAAATTCAGCCCACATAAATTAAGATAATATTGGGAATTAATTTGATAACGTGGTTAACTATTGCTTAAGGTAACAAGGACAACGGCCGCAGGTGTAGTTAGGACCAGCACCGCTCGTTTGGTGGCAGCAGACGAGAGCCAATCAGAGCCGTTGACCGAGGAAATAAACGCACCGATCAATTTGGTCGTTGTCAGTCTCTCACTCACTCCAGCCACAGAAACATCATCGTCGGCTCCCTCAACGTCGATGTTAGATCGGCGTCGAAGGCGGCGCCTGTGGTGGGAGATACGGGAACAGTGTCGACCTTGGGGTAGTGGGGAAATGTGTCGACCTTGGGGTAGTGGGGAAATGTGTCGACCTTGGGGTAGTGGGGAACAGTGTCGACCTTGAGGTAGTGGGGAAATGTGTCGACCTTGGGGTAGTGGGGAACAGTGTCGACCTTGAGGTAGTGGGGAAATGTGTCGACCTTGGGGTAGTGGGGAACAGTGTCGACCTTGAGGTAGTGGGGAAATGTGTCGACCTTGGGGTAGTGGGGAAATGTGTCGACCTTGAGGTAGTGGGGAAATGTGTCGACCTTGGGGTAGTGGGGAAATGTGTCGACCTTGGGGTAGTGGGGAAATGTGTCGACCTTGGGGTAGTGGGGAAATGTGTCGACCTTGGGGTAGTGGGGAAATGTGTCGACCTTGGGGTAGTGGGGAAATGTGTCGACCTTGGGGTAGTGGGGAAATGTGTCGACCTTGGGGTAGTGCGGAAATGTGTCGACCTTGGGATAGTGCGGAAATGTGTCGACCTTGGGATAGTGCGGAAATGTGTCGACCTTGGGGTAGTGGGGAAATGTGTCGACCTTGAGGTAGTGGGGAAATGTGTCGACCTTGGGGTAGTGCGGAAATGTGTCGACCTTGGGGTAGTGGGGAAATGTGTCGACCTTGGGATAGTGCGGAAATGTGTCGACCTTGAGGTAGTTGGGAAATGTGTCGACGTTGGGATAGTGCGGAAATGTGTCGACCTTGGGGTAGTGGGGAAATGTGTCGACCTTGGGGTAGTGCGGAAATGTGTCGACCTTGGGATAGTGCGGAAATGTGTCGACCTTGAGGTAGTGGGGAAATGTGTCGACCTTGGGATAGTGCGGAAATGTGTCGACGTTGGGATGGTGCGGAAATGTGTCGACGTTGGGATGGTGCGGAAATGTGTCGACCTTGGGGTAGTGGGGAAATGTGTCGACGTTGGGATGGTGTGGAAATGTGTCGACCTTGGGGTAGTGGGGAAATGTGTCGACCTTGGGGTAGTGCGGAAATGTGTCGACCTTGGGATAGTGCGGAAATGTGTCGACGTTGGGATGGTGCGGAAATGTGTCGACGTTGGGATGGTGCGGAAATGTGTCGACCTTGGGGTAGTGGGGAAATGTGTCGACCTTGGGATGGTGCGGAGATATACAGTGAAAGTTTTCATTGATATACGCCATAGAAGACCTAACTGTCAGGTGTCGCCAAAGGGTTTATATATACAGCCAATTGACATGTATATACATTGTACATGTCAAATCACTGAGGATCGGGTCTGGGTGGGGAGAGATACTCCTGACATGAACACATGAGACCTCGTAGGTTGGTCAGTTGTATCACTTCTGCTACAGATGAGTTGGGGGGGGGGGCTGCTTCACAACAGCAGGAGGTTAGATCCCATCACCACGCATCTATCCTTCCAGCTTCCGACACATAGACTATTAAACACACACGCACAAAAACTCTGCCATTGAGAAGCAAGCAACAAATAAAGTACATAATTTTATACACGTATATACTTGATATGGTACCCGGCGGTTCCCGGGTCCACACACACACACACACACATTCTCACGCCCTTCTCTTCCGACCTAAGCACACATTTTCCGGTTGCGCTCCACGAACACCATACCCATCTCCCATCACACACCCTCCCCACCTCTACCCACGCATATTCTCCCCATTTCTCCCCCACCCTAGCAATGCAACCATTTCCACTACTCATTATCTGTATCTCTGCAATCAAATGATTGTGTACAGAATTTGTATTTTTTATTAACACATTTAGGTACATGTGCATTTGTGCAGCTGTCCTAGATTATATGAAGGGAAGTACAGTGTGTCAAAAAGCTAGCTACGTGGTGCTAAAAATCCCCATCACACAGTATGGTTAGTCATACAGAGGCCTGTGATCAGTAGTCTGCACTGGCAGACTCTGGGTTCATTATGAGGATATCTTCAAGAATACGAGACTGAATACAGTAATTGCAAAGCTCCAGGTACCTCATGCCAACTGGGCTGAAAGATCTAATAACTGGGCATTCGGTCAGTGTAGTGTCAGTGGAGATCAGTTCACAGATCAGGATCACAGTTCCTGCTCACAGAGTTTGCACCTGGAGTCCTCAGGATTGGGAGATCCGTCACCAGTAGCCACCTGCCACAGGTAACGGCAATTCAACCTGATCCTGGCAACCACTGTGTCGCACAGTCTGGTGGACGTTTTGTGCTGCCCAAAAACATTGGTTTCAGATCTGAAAAAATCATAGTTTTTTATTTTGGAGCTTTTATACTGGTGAGTTCTGTGTCCTGAACGCAAAACTTTCTGTATATATTGTTAACTCTACGGACGTTTGGTTGCACATTCCTCCCTCCCTACTCGTTTTATCTTACTCTCCTTCCTTCGCTCCCTTCCTCCCATTCTTCCATTCTCCGTCTCATCCGCTGTCCCAGCCGACAAAACATGCTTGACTAATTTTTAATCAACATAGATAAGAGGGGGGGGGGATATGATTAAACACCATCAAACCCACAGTTATAACTTCTTAGGAGTCGTTGATTGTCGCGAAAGATTGATTGATCCTATTCCACCTTCCCTATGTTTAATGGTCTTATCCCTCTTACCCCCGGAAAGATATTATATATATATATATATATATATATATATATATATATATATATATATATATATATATATATATATATATATATATATATATATATAATTAAATATGACCGAAAAAGTAAGATTAATAATTCTAACACGAATTTTCTCAATATTTCTTATGTTTCTTTTCACTGTTGATGGTAATTGAAAAATCAATTCTCCAAAATTCATTTTTATTTCTAGTCTGACGCGACACTTGAACGCGTTTCGTAATAACTTATTACATTTTCAAAGACTTTTAGTTTACAGACACACAACTATAACCTGAAAACACTAAACAGAGTTCTTACTATGCTATGATGCCATTCAATTGCGCATCGCTTCATATGATGCTTTGACCAACTTGCAGTAAATTGCGCATCGCATCATGTGATGCTTTGGAGTACTACGCAAGATTTAAACGGCCCGTGGATACACGGGGTTCACCACACCTTCATCAGGTCTCTTGTAAACAGACGCCATTTTTTTTAAAAATCGTGGGCCAAACTCCCGGGTGTTAGGGGCCTCAGTATTGAGTCAGCTACCAAGCCTAACGCACGCAGCATGAACTCACAGCACTGCTGCTCAGCTTGTGACCACAGCATCGCCTAAAAATGCCATAATATACTTGTTCATGCTATTATGTAGCGATGATATTCTTACAGAAGACCCCTGACTGTGATAAAACTGACCAAGGTTCTGATAATAGCAGGATTGTGGTGATATTTGGCGCTGTGCGCCATGGAGGGAGGAGTAATGCTGTGGGAGGGAGGATGGTGGCGTTGTCTTTTGAGTGTGTGTGGCCACCTTTTATTGACTACACTCACCATACCAGCTTAGTGGTTCGCTATGGTGAACACAAATGTACTTATATATAACGTGTGTATAGTGTGAGATAACAGCGAGAGTAGGAGGTTGGAAGCCGCCATTTTGGTGAGGGAGGAGCGTCGTCTGCAGGACTTATCATGTTGTTTACTGATGACCACGATGGTCTTTGGGCACCATACCAGTTTACTTGTACAAGTATGGTGAATAAAACAGGTAGATATTTATATATAATGTGTGTATATAGCGTAATAACACCACAAACAGTATTATTGTAGGAGAAATATTAGTGCGTCTGGCCTTGAGGGCGGCCGCACCAGCTGACTGTGTGAGTAGCTACGTCTTTGAGCCTTTACTCACCATACAAGCTTAGATGTACAGTTATGGTGAACAAAACATGTAAATACTTATATATAACGTCTGTATATAGAAGCAAAAACAGTATGGTGGCAAGTCAGGTGAGGTGAGGGAGGGAGTGGCAGCCAGTGGCAGCTAGTGGCAGCCAGTCACTGCCTGTCACTGCCACTGCCACTCAGCATACCAACTTAGTGGTTCGTTATGGTGAACAAAACATGCAGATACTTATATATAACCTGTGTATATAGTGTAATAACCGAAAAAGTATTTGTTCACTGTTTGATGAACATAATTGAATCAACAATATGCACACCATATTTTGAGTACAGCGATGATTCACTCATTTTATTATATAAATATATCACACTGCACACTATTGAATAATATTACAGCAAAAAACTACGAAAAATCAATCAGAGACATTGAAATAATTAGGTAATTATCTCTTTGTAGAAACTCTGGCCTGACAGCTGGCGATCAACAGCGTGCCTGCGACGCACGCTCAGTCAGCGCCTGATTTTTGCCAGAATTCCCCGCCCTATAGTGGGCAATATATGTCACTTACGATTTTTTTATTATTTTTCCCGTGATCAGTGAACACAAATTAACAGGTTAGGAAAAAAAAAAATTTTTTTTTTTTTTGGTATGTGCCTGTGGGTGTCAAATGGTATATAGCTATGCGCCATTTAAGGGTTAAACAGCTTTCATTTTATTTTATACCCGCATTTTGGGTGAGGTGATATGTTACGACAGTTTTGGATGAGGTGAACAAAACTTTCAACACAGGACAGAACACGAAACAATGGGTATTAATTGGGTAAATTGAAGGTAAGAATGGAAGTAACTGCAGAGGGCCTATTGGCCCATATTTCTTGATGCTTCTATATTGGAGCGGAGTCATGAAGTGGGTAGAATATAGTTGTGCATAAATTGGCTGTTGATTGCTGGTGTTGACTTCTTGATGTGTAGCGCCTCGCAGATATCAAGCCGCCTGCTATCGCTCTATCTATCGATGATTTCTGTGTTGTTTGCTAAGATTTCTCTGGTGATAATCTGGTTGTGGGACGAGATTATATGGTCCTTAATGGAGCCCTGTTGCTTATGCATCGTTAATCGCCTGGAAAGAGATGTTGTTGTCTTGCCTATATATTGAGTTCTTTGAGGCTTACAGTCCCCAAGTGGGCATTTGAAGGCATAGACGACGTTGGTCTCTTTTAAAGCGTTCTGCTTTGTGTCTGGAGAGTTTCTCATGAGTAGGCTGGCCGTTTTTTTGGTTTTATAGTAAATCGTCAGTTGTATCTTCTGATTTTTATCTGTAGGGATAACGTTTCTATTAACAATATCTTTCAGGACCCTTTCTTCCGTTTTATGAGCTGTGGAAAAGAAGTTCCTGTAAAATAGTCTAATAGGGGGTATAGGTGTTGTGTTAGTTGTCTCTTCAGAGGTTGCATGGCGTTTCACCTTCCTTCTTATGATGTCTTCAACGAAACCATTGGAGAAGCCGTTGTTGACTAGGACCTGCCTTACCCTACAGAGTTCTTCATCGACTTGCTTCCATCCTGAGCTGTGGCTGAGAGCACGGTCGACATAAGCGTTAACAACACTCCTCTTGTACCTGTCTGGGCAGTCACTATTGGCATTTAGGCACATTCCTATGTTTGTTTCCTTAGTGTAGACTGCAGTGTGGAAACCTCCGCTCCTTTCCATGACTGTTACATCTAGAAAGGGCAGCTTCCCATCCTTCTCCATCTTGTAAGTGAAACGCAGCACGGAACTCTGCTCAAATGCCTCCTTCAGCTCCTGCAGATGTCTGACATCAGGTACCTGTGTAAAAATGTCGTCAACATACCTGCAGTATATGGCCGGTTTCAAGTTCATGTCGACTAAGACCTTTTGCTCGATGGTACCCATGTAGAAGTTTGCAAACAGGACACCTAGGGGAGAACCCATGGCGACCCCATCTACTTGCTTATACATGTGCCCATCCGGGCTCAAGAAGAGTGCCTCTTTAGTACAAGCTTGGAGAAGTTTCCTTACAATGTTTTTTGGTATGTCAAGAGGAGTACAAGCCGGATCACGATACACTCTGTCCGCTATCATCCCGATTGTTTCATCCACAGGTACGTTGGTAAACAACGTATGTGGATTGTTTCATCCACAGGTACGTTGGTAAACAACGTATGTGGATTGTTTCATCCACAGGTACGTTGGTAAACAACGTATGTGGATTGTTTCATCCACAGGTACGTTGGTAAACAACGTATGTGGATTGTTTCATCCACAGGTACGTTGGTAAACAACGTATGTGGATTGTTTCATCCACAGGTACGTTGGTAAACGACGTATGTGGATTGT